AAAAGAGCTGCGTTCAGGTTCTCTCTAAACGTACTAGTACTGATTTCCAATCCCTGCTAGAGTTCAAGTTTGGGGAAAATAAAGGGCCGCGTTCGAGAGGGCGTCTTAGGATAGGCCAGGCATTCAACTTCGTTCCGAATCGCAGTAACATTTGAGTGCGAAATGACATCATACAACGAGTTACGCCGCAACCCACGGATGTAAAGGTCCGTGTTTTTGCTCCCAGGAAAAGTCCGATCCCAGTCCACCGACCGCGCGATGATGGAAATTTTCTTTTGATTCATGCGATTACACCGATTAAATAGAAGCAGGCAAATACGGTTAGCAACCGAATGATCTGATTTTTCACGCCTCTGCATTCTAACTGTTGTTTTCTGCATGTCAAAATTTCATTGCCTAGTGGTTTCTTCACTTTGATGACGTCAAACATGAGCCGCTGCAGTCTATGACTCAATTTGGGGAAGGGGAGGGCTGTGGGTTCCTTAACAGTGCAGTCAGTGCTTTTCAAAGTCCTGAATCAGAGCCGATAGAGTGAGCGCCCCATCCGATTCAAAATTAAGTTGATAATAATGCCGACTTTGGGGTGGAAAGATAACTGCAGTTACAGCTATTGCTTTTGAAGCCTAGGAGGAGAAGCCAGTTCAACACCAAATGTTCTTGAGATGTCTTGATGTTTAGTTCATGGAAATCAAGGGCCTGAGAGACCGGTAAGGTGCGAAGGAGTTGTTGTCTTGGACATTTTCGCACAGCTTCCCCAAAAATCTGAGGAGAACCCGATTCATGAGTGTTGATGTTCCGGCTGAGCGTAATAGAAAGCGCGGGGACTCCCTGGAGTAAAAGGCCATTGACAAATGGAGCGTCAGGATCATCGCGTAGACGTCATTCTTCACAAATAGTTTTTATCACAAATATGTTAAATGGATTTCATGGTGCTTGACCTTTTCCTCGAATTTTGCATCGGATACTGAAAGGATAAAAAGGATAAAACATCAGCGTTGGTCAAAGCTTCGCTCGGGTGCGCCACGCATTCCACTTAAAGTGGAATTTGAATGCATTTCAAATTGCGCAGTAAATTTAGGGTGACAGCCAATGTCAAATCGAAACATTCCGGCGAAATTAGCCTGATACTAATTAAGGGACCCTAAAAGGGTGGTATAGTGAACCCCTCTCATGCCCATCCACAAATAGCGCCCCCCAATTCGCTTCCTCCTCCATCCATGGCAATCGCCACCTATAAGATGAATATTAAATAATTTTAACTATAGACTACCATTTCAAGAATCTGTAACGATCCAGCAAAACATTTCTTTGAAAAGGAGCTGAGTTTTTATCCTTGCTGATTCAGCTCGGAGGATCTCTAAGAATTGTTAGCGTCATCGTATATGTCCATTTTAATGCTGCTTACAAATGTCAGAAGTAATCTTTGATTAGTGACAACGATAGTATAGTACATATTTTACACACGGGATGACTAGCCTAGCCTAGCCCTATTATGAGATGCTCTTCCCGACGGACCCACCAAGTCTCACCCTGAACAGCCTCGAACACCAGAAATATTCACAGATGTATCTAAATTCTGCTTAGTAATCGGGAAAACATACGGTTACATAGCTACGTAGCCTCTATCAAAACTGAATTAGAGCAGATAGCAAAGTGGCAAGCGGCGCTACTTCCTTCGGGCATGCTCCATAGAACAAATCTTGGCTTGAAAGGGAACGTAGCAATCCAGTCCTCCATCCCTGATGATCGCTTATTTGATGCCAACCTGTCTGCGAAGATAAAACAGTGATTTGTTTCGTTTTGAGCTTCGGGGAACTGAAGCAAGATTAGGCGCTTTACCGGGTGAGTTACAGAGCTAGGAACTTCGAACCAGTTTCAGGTCCTGAAGACGACGAGTTTGTCGAAACGTTGACCAATAAACGTGTTCCACCATAACAACCTGTACGGCACAGAAGAAAAAACACGGTTTGTTATACATCGTCTGACCCCAGCAATGAAATTCTTATATTCAATAGAAACAGATTAAATTCAACCATTTTGATTTCCTTATATCTCGATTACAATGTGGTTTCGAAATTTGATATTGCTCGCCAAACTTTTCAAAATTAATTCAAAGAGGTGGGATTCAATGAAATCATTGTGCAGGTCAAGTCGCGTTCGAGCGTCTCTAAAATTCTACATAGGAGCGGAATGCGTGGAGCATTCCCAAAAGGACTATGAAATGCCAGATGCTCTATATATTTGGTGAGAGCATTCCCAAAAAGACTATGAAATTGCAGCAGCTTATGATGAATTTGACCTAAGAGCTGTGCTTCCCTTACCATTGAACTATTCCGAACAAAGCACTCTGTCTGCAGCTAACTTGCTGAGCGAGAATTACATTGGCAGCGGAATGTTTGCCGACGATTGCATGTATCTGACATGTTTTGCAGCACACATTAGCACGTTATGCGCGCTGTAGCGGCTCGCGCGTAGCTACGTACAGATTCGTAGTTACGTAGTTCGAGACTGGGTTGGTGCTCACGTCGTTAGGAGGGGAGTTCATAAGGGTGACCCACTCACTGTAATGGGACTAGGCTTTAGAGAGCAGAAGGAACTCTGGGCTGGGTGAAAATCGGTCGTGGATTCGTCGACGTTTCCTCAAAGATTTCGCCTGTTCAGTCATGCTCTCCTGCGCGGACATTCATTCCTCGCCACGCGCGAGCCGCCTATTCTCCGAGCCCACATTCATTCTCGACACTATTCTCATACAGTACGGAGTCATGGTCAAGGATTTCTCGGAGCGTTATTCAGCGTGCTTCTGGGAGGACGTGCGATAATGAGCGATTTTTTAATCTCCCTGACGTTCCTCTCCTCTTCTTGGCTTAGTCCTAGTGTCACCTACGAGCGCTTAAATGCCGTATTGAATCCGCTGGAGCGCCATGGGGTTTTAGTGTGCATAAATAAGAAACGTGGTGTAAATCCTGAACTTCTACACAATCCTTTGCCTCCTAAATTGCCACCAGCCACTCTGCTGTGAAACATCTACCAACCAGGTTTTCTATGCTTACCCACAGCTGTCTTTCACAGCTCATCCAAGGAGCGCGTGTTGAGACGGTTTCAATATCACTGCCATCTCTGAGAGCTTTCTTTAGTTATGTGATTGCTTGAAAATGTTTTATTAGCAAGCTTCTCTCGATGACTTTTTCATCGAAAAATGCGCAGCATTGCTAAGGACCATAATAGGATTAAATTTGTCAGGCAGCTTGTTGGCGCTGTTATTGATCTAATCATGTGAGATTGGTCATCCCTATCGAATTGGAATGGCATTTTACAACAATCGAAATGGCTATTCGTTTCTATTAAAGGCAACGCTCCAGGCTCTTCCAACCACCACAGCCTATACACTGGACTGTACTGCCTTTAGTTATTACGAAAATTGGTTCTGGAGGAGGTAAAAATACATAACTGCGCGGCACATCCATCCAGCAAGGAGTTCCCTATGCAGTATGGGCAGCCAAGGTTGATCAAGAGGAATCTCAAGTCTGATATCGTTCTGTCGATCGGTGGAAGCACGATAAAAGAAAGCTCGTTGGCCCTCTATGTTTATTCCACGGGCTATGCTAGTAGCATCTTACTTTTTGCACCGCTACACCACTTTTAGGTAAAACAACCCTATATAAGGGCGTGGACAAACAAATCGTTCTGTGGGTGAGTTAGAGTAGCTCACGATCACAGATAAGCCGTAGCTCGTAAGTGCGCAACAGTGGTGCTGGGGCCTTGCAAAGGGAATCTGATGGCGACTAATGCGAATATATGGACGAGATACCTCACGCACACTCCGTGACGTAGGCGGCTAATTCAAATACTGCGCTGGTCTGTGAGGGGAGCTATACAAGTAATTCAGACAACTCGGCCGACACCCTCTTAGGGCAAAACTTGTCAATGGCTTGATCGACGGTTTTCTCTGGTTCTTTTCTCATTTTTAGCTAGTTGAGCATCCATAATTTCATCAGTGACCGCTGTTACCCTAACAATTTGATATGGGGTTGTTGCTTTAAGAAATGGGTTAAGGG